ACACCACGAAGAGCCCGAACGACTCACACCACAAGGAGGGGCCCGAACGACTCACACCAGGACGAGGCGCCCGAACGACTCACACCACGAGGAGCCCGAACGACTCACACCACGACGCGGGCCCCGAACGACTCACACCACGAGGAGCCCGAACGAGTCACACCAGGAGGAGGGGCCCGAACGACTCACACCAGGACGAGGGGCCCGAACAACTCACACCACGAGAAGCCCGAACGACTCACACCAGGACGAAGAGCCCGAACGACTCACACCACGAAGAGCCCGAACGACTCACACCAGGACGAAGGGCCCGAACGACTCACACCAGGACGAGAAACCCCCAACCACTCAAACCACAAGGAGCGCTTTCTCTCTCTCTCCTCCTCCGCCTCGTCCTTCTCCCGCTCCCACCACAAGATGTACAAGGAGGCGGGAGGAAGGAGTAACAGGGGAGATATGCGGGGCCAAGCGGACACACGCCTGAAAAACATAACTGTCGGCATGCTTCGCAAGAGTTGCTGTTGTGAGATGGGCTGGTGGGGATACGCGAAGCGTAAAGAATTCAAGGAAGCCGTGAGTTCAGAGTGTAGTTCCGGATCGGGACTTAACAATCACAGTTCAACCAGCGCCATCACGCGCGACCCGGCTCGTGCAGATCCGAGGCTCAGGCGGGCGAGTGATGATAATGATGATGCTGATGATGATGATGATGATGATGATGATGATGATGATGATGATGGTGGTGGTGGTGATGACGAACATAATGATGATGATGGTGATTGTTGTAACGGTTGTCACGGGGGCGACGACAACGACAACAACGATGATGACGACGGTGGTGATGATGGCGGTGGTGATGGCGAGGGTAATCAAGATGCTGGTGATGATGACGGGAGGGCGGGGGGGCACTTATGGCTTTTTGCTAGCAGGTGCGCGCATGCGGACGTCTGACAAGCTGTATTGAAAAGGCATACATGTACATGTTGGTTTGAAGGACTATATCATGAAATTCTTCCCAAACCAGTTGCGTTTGGCACGACTTTGACATGCGCGCGGGGACGCGCGTGTGGCCCGTATTTTGGGACAAAGAGAACATGGAGAAACGATACTGGCCGCCAGGGGATGGTATTGTTTGGTGTTCTGGCAAGCGATCACACACAACAGTATGAAACACTATGCAGAGGGCATGCGTTAACCTGGGCCTCGGGATGGATGTGCACTCGAATGTTAAACCACAGGTGGTGCAAAATATGTGGTGTATGTTCTGTGGTGCAACGTGCGGGGCGCAATCTATGACATGCGAACAGTGTGATGCAGTCTCTGGGAAGCAATGTTTGCGGCCCGAGCTATGTGGTGCAATCTGTGGTGCAAGCGATGTGGAGCAACCTGCGGGGTGCAACCTGTGCGGTGAAAACCTGCAGATTGGAAATGGTGTGCTGCAAGCTGTTTGATGAAAACTGGGCGGCTCAACATCTTGCGCCAATCTCTGGCGTGCAGTCTGGGTGGCGCAAGCCGTGGTGCAGGCTATGTGTTACAAGCTGCGGAGTGCAACGTGCGCGGCGCAAGCGTTTTTTGTTTCACGCTGACCACACACCGCACATCAAACGCGAGAGGGCGCACGGCTCGTAGGCTCCCGATGCATTCTACGTGGTGCACGCTGCGTGTGCATCCCGACACGCGAACCAACGCATGCCGCGGGCACGAGGCGCGCGCGCGGCGGGCGGGCACCAGGAAAACACGCGGGGAACCCCCGACGAAGCGGCCACGGGAAGGCCAATGGGCGAGCACCCAGGGCATCCAGCCACGGCACGGGGCGGCCACGACGCGACCACGGGCGGCCACTATGCGAAAACTCGGAGAACCCACCCACCGCACGGGGCGGCCACGATGGCCACCGCGGGCGGCCACTGGACTCGGACGAAAACCCGTGGAACCCACCCAGCCCGCAAGACGGTCACGGACCGGCCACCGGCGTCCACCTCGCGAAAAGCCACGGAGCCGCCAAGGCCCGAAAGCCCGGCGAACGCAGCCAACGCACGGGACGACCACGAGGCGGCCACCGCCTAGAACCCTGGGGAACCCACCCAGTTACTCACGACAAGAACAGGAACCGCCTAAAACAAGGACTGTTTGGGGAAATATTTCTCCTCGTCGCACCACCAACCGTGACGGCAGGGCGGTCGGTACGTTTCGCTTGAACCCCCCGGCCGCATGATACCTTCAAGGTTCGAATGTCAAATAACTACACGGATGGGAGCCAACTTGTCCTCCATACTTGCAATTTACTTGGACCGTTCGTACCTTTTTTTCTGATACGCATTGACATGACTACCCGTTTCACGGTTGGGGGCAAGCCGTTACATCATCGTGTTGTGATCCTGCAACTGCAAGCCCCCAACAATTACACTGACGGAAGGCAAGCCGCTTTTACGATGAGGTCCTCGCGTGAAGTTTAGCATGCAACATGGCCCGGAACCTTGAACATTCCAGCGGGTGCACGGACGGACGGCAAATCGTTTGCAAATCGTTGAACGCCACCGCACCATTCGAAATACGTCGCGAACGCAGATACGCGTGGCAAATCGTCGCCACCGAACCACCGTGGACCCCAAACAGCGTTCTTATCACTACCAATATATGTTGTGAGATCTAGGTGGTGCAATATATGTGTGTATATATACATATCTGTTTTATTATCTGCGTGGTGCAAATCACTCCGAAAACCTTGGAATTGTCAATTTCAGTGTTCGTACAGTCATCCCGCCCACCCGCCCGCAACTTGTTTTGCAAAGCCCATTCGGCGGCGACTGCGATGAGTGTTTGGTGTTGGCTGGTGCATCTCTGCGGCCGCGCTAGCCCGCGCATGCTCGCGCGCACGGCGGCCAGTTGTTTCGGCGCGACCGACGCGGCCGCAGTGGCGCTGACCGCTGGGCACTTCCCAGCGGGCACTTCATTGCGAGTCGGTGACTTGGGCGGGCGCGGTATCATGGCGACGTCGACAACGGTAGACACGGTGTTGGTAGTAGCGATGCTGGTGACGATGATGGCGATGACGACGGCAAGGCCAATGACGGCGCGGATGCTGGTAACGCCAATGAAAATGACGATGTCATCGCGTCGGTGATGAAGGATTTGGAAAGAGTTCGGCATGCGCGAGCGGCCGACGCGCGCGAGTGGGCCGCATGGTATTCTTTGACAGGGATCGCGCCCCCCAAGCACGCGCGCAAGGGCGTTCGACTGATTTCAACATGCGGCGCGAGAGGCCCATTTGGTCGAATTTGGTGAATCTGTGACAGGCCTATGCTTTTCTTGAGAATTCACACGAGCGCGCGCGCAGATATTTGTTTGAACACTGTCATGGCGACAGCACGCGCGCAAATGGCGTCTTTAACGATTTCGACATGCGCGCGCGAGGGGCACGTTTGGCAGCATGTGATGAACATTCGCTTGTCGAACAACCAATGTTTTTTTTCCTGGGATTTCGCAAGAGCGCGTGCGCATGGGTTGTGTACAAAAACCTGTTGCGAAACCATTCGCGTTCTTGTGTTAAATGTTTTGGGGCACTCGATATTGAACTCCTTACGACACCTTAGGCTTTAAAAGATTTCGGCATGCGCGCGCGAACACGCGCGCGTGTGCACTTCCCTACATGTTTGCAAGGGGTTCTTGGAAACTGATGGTTTTGCTGAACGAATGCGCGCGTACAAAATGCTTTACAAAAGGATGCGGGGGAAGACCGATAAGGGACTGCCTGGGATGGTATGGTCCGAATTTTCGGATGGACAATGGGGCAATATCGTATGCAACTTTCTATACAAAAAGGCGGTTCGTTAAGTCAGGGGGGAGACATGTTCTGATACGTTTTTTCAAAAAGGGGATCTATATATACATATATATATATATATATGTGGAGCTATATATATATACATGTTGTGCAAACGATGTTGATAAGTATCTGGTGCGCCAAATATGTTGTGCAATCTATGTTGTGCAGTCTGTGTTGTGCAGTCTGTGTGGTGTTCTATGTGGTGCTCTTTTTGCTGTGCACTCTATGTGGTGCAGTCTGTATTGTGCAATCTACGTGGTGCCATATGTGTTGTGCGCTCTACGTGGGGCGAGCACTCAGCCGCCAGACCGCCAGCCAGGCCCAGATGACGGGCGGCGACGAGGCGGCGACGGGGCGCGACGGCGAGCGCGGACCCGCTGGACCGCCAGCCAGGCCCAGTTCCTTAAAAGAGAAGTATATTCAAGGGGCCCTGGGACACACAAATAAATAGACACAAATAACAGGATTCCCAATATTTTCCAATATTTTCTGGGTTTTCGTCTTCCCCCCCACTTCCCATATTTTCCCATATTTCCTTGGAGGCGACGATTAATTGTGTCTGTGTGTTTTTTCCCCTCCTGACAAGTGCAAGCACTGTCTGGGGAAAACTTCACTTTGTCAGTGACTCTTACTGCCAGGCCTGAGCTGGCTCGAATCGCGAAATCGGGTCAAATCGGATACGGATCGGATCGCTGACGGATCGTCCCGCACCGAATCGACATCGGATCGTCGCGACCAACCATGGCGGCCCTGGCTGATGCCGGTGAACCGAACCGAATCGAACCGAGTCGAAACCGCGGCCCCAACCAGCGAATCGGATGGGATCGGATCGGAACGCACATGGGCGACCCTTACCGTGCCGTCCTCGCCTCCATTCCATTCCCTGCTCCCACGCCACCGCCCTCCTCGGCGCCTCTGCGTCGCAGCCTTGCTGCAGAAGGAGCCTCCCGCCCCGATCGGGAGCGGCCAAGAGGGGGGTGTCCAAGAGGGGGGGTGCAAATCATGACCGGCGGCATGTGTGCGGCCCAGCGGGGGGGCCAGGGACGTAATGAAACAAGAAGAGGCGCCATGAGATCTGGGGAAATATCATGGCCCCCCGCCATGAGATCCCCCCCCTAGTCATCACCCCCCTCTTTTCCGCCCCCGATGCAGAGGGAGCCTCCCGCCCCGAGGCGGTCCTCGATGGGGCGGGCCCAGTGGAGCATGGCGTTCTCGTGCCGGGGCGGGCGCGAGTCGAGCTCCTGCTGCCTGCCCAGGAAGGAGAGAAGGCGCGGAGCGGGGGCTCGAGGAGGACGACAGCACAGCACGCCTCAAAGAACATGCCATCCTCCTGCGCATCGTCCTGCTCCTCTTCGCCTTCTCGCCCTCCTCCTCCTCCTCTCCTCCTCCCCTCCTCCTCCTCCTCCCTCCCCCTCCCCCCCCCCCTCCTCTCCTCCTCCTCCTCCTCCTCCTCCTCCTCCTCCTCCTCCTCCTCCTCCTCCTCCTCCTCCTCCTCCTCCTCCTCCTCCCCCTCCTCCCTCCTCCTCCTCCTCCTCCTCCGCCTTCCCTCCCCTTCCTTCTCCTCCTCCTGCTGCCGGCCCCGAAGAAAATAGGATGCATGCTGCTCCTCCTGCTTGCCTCCCTCCTCCTCCCGTCATCCTCGGGTGTGCCTCCACATTGAGCCCTCCTCTTTCTAACTATTGAGGGATGAAAAAACGACCCTACCCTGGGTTACAAGTGCGTGGTCTGTAAACCTCCTGGGAACCCCCAAAGCCTAGAGCCGCCAGGACGCGGCACATCACGCAGGGTTTACCTTGTTAGCCCACAGGAGGTTCAGCGCACAGCGCCTCGTAACCCAAGGTAGGGGCGTTTTTTATGCCCTTGAAACTAAGAGCGCGCTGCTCATGTTTATTCAATGTGGCAAAGTTGCGCTCGGTTCGTTTGGCTGATTCGAACCGCGCGTCACCCCATACTCTCACGGAAGCTCATTTATCGAGACCTCTCTTGCGACCCGACGGTCACACAAGCATTTAGCTAGGCGTGTCCATGATCGATTTGACACGCTCCTTTCCAGATGCGAGCATCTCGACAGGCCACCCAATGAACAAGCTGACACACGCACTTCGAAAAGCAAGCGCGACATGATGCGCGCGCATCGTGGCATACGCCCAAATCAAAAATAAACCAACTTACACATCGAGGATCTCTTCGGTACGCGCCCCAGGTTCACACGGAAGCGACGGACCTGTTTTGCGAAATGTATCCTTTAGCAGGCTGGTGAACCACCGACACAAGATTTTCACGAAGTGAGGAGTCAGCTCGTCGGCAAGTGGTTGGGCCGACTGAAAAGTATCCTGGCGAAAGACCCAACCATATGCAATTGTGAGTAACGCGTTGTGCGTGCCGCTTGCGGTGGAACTTCTTAACGGGCCACGAAGCGCGTGAGGGACGTGCCGAAATGGGTGGGGGAAACGCATGCGGGCGGTGCCACTGTGGCATTCGGTGGGGCTCCTTATGGGCCACGAGACGCTGTACTTGGCGTGGCGGACGCAGGCGGGCGGTGCCCTTCGCTGGAACTCCCGATGAGGCCACGAAGCGCTGTACTGGTTGGGGGAGACGCATGCGGGCTGTGCCACTGGGGTCTTTCTGTGGAGCTCCCTACGGGGCCACGAAACGCTGTACTGGGTAGTGGCCGGCGCATGCGTGCCAATGGGGGTTTCGGTGGGCCCCGTACGGGACCACGCAGCGCTGTACTAGGATGGGGGACGCATACGGGCGGTGCCACTGGGGCCTTCGGTAGAGCTCCCTATGGGCCCACGAAGCGCTGTACCCGGTGGGGGGTCGCATGCGGGCGGACTCTTGGAGCTCCCTACGGGGCCATGAAACGCTTTACTGGATGGGGGGGGCTGGGGCTTGGTGGAGCTCCCAATCAATGGGGCCACGAAATGGAGTACTGGGTGGTGGGCGACGCACGCGGGCGGTGCAAATGGAGTCCTTCTGTGGAGTTCCCTATGGGGCCACGAAGCGATGTACTGGATCGTGGCTGACGCATTCGGGCGGTCCCATGGGGACCATCGGTGGAGTTCCTATGAGGCCACGAAACGTTGTACCTGGGTGGTGGCTGGCGCATGCGGGCGGTCCCACTGGGACCATCGGTGAAGTCCTTATGGGGCCACGAAGCGCTGTGCTGGGTGGTAGCTGACGCACGCGGACGGTCCCATTGGGGCTTTCGGTGGAGCCCCCTAAGGGGCCACGAAACGCTGCGCTTGGTGGTGGCAGACGCATGCGGGCGATGCCAATAGGGCCCTCAGTGGACCTCCCGATGGGGCCACGAAGCGTTGTATTGGGTGGGTGAAACGCAGGGAACAAGGGCTGTGCTGGGTGGTGGTTAACGCTGTGGGCGACGCCACTGGGACTTTCGGTGGAGCTATGTGGCCACGAAACGGTGTACTGGGTGGGTGAAACGCAAGAGAAAAAAAGGCTGTGCTGGATGGTGGTTGACGCACGCGGGCGGTGCCACTGGAACTGTCGGTGGAGCTCCCTATGGGGCCACGAAGCGGTGTTCTGGGTGGGTGGAGCGCAGGGAGCAAAAGGGTTGTGATGGGTGGTGTTTGCGCATGCGGGCGGTGCCCTTGGGACCTTCGAAGCGCTGTACTGGGTGGGTGAAGCGCAGGGAGCAAGGGCTGTGCTGGGTGGTGTTTGACGCATGCGGGCGGTGCCACTGGGACCTTCGGTGGAGCTCCCAATGGGGCCACGAAGCGGTGTACTGGGTGGGTGAAACGCAAGGAGCAAAAACTGCGCTGGGTGGTGGCTGACGCATGCGGGCGGTGCCACTGGGACCTTCGGTGGAGCTCGGTATGGGGCCACGAAGCGGTGTACTTGGTGTGAAACGCAGGGAGCAAGGGCTGTGCTGGGTGGTGGCTGACTCATGCGGGCGGTGCCACTGGGACCTTCGGTGGAGCACCGTATGGGGCCACGAAGCGCTGTACTGGGTGGGTGAAATGCAAGGAGCAAGGGCTGCGCTGGGTGGTGGCTGGCGCATGCGGGCGGTGCCACCAGGACCTTCGGTGGAGCCCCCTCTGTGGGGCCACGAAACGCTGTACTGGGTGGGTGAAACGAGGGGAGCAAGGGCTGTGCTGGGTGGTGGCTGACGCATGCGGGCGGTGCCACTGGGACCTTCGGTGGAGCTCTCTATGGAACCACGAAGCGGTGTAATGGGTGGGTTGAACGCAGGGAGCAAGGGTTGTGCTGGTTGGTGGCTGACGCACTCGGGCGGTGCCAGTAGGACCTTCGGTGGAGCCCTCTATGGGGCCACGAAGCGCTGTACTGGGTGGGTGAAACGCAGGGAACAAGGGCTGTGCTGGGTGGTGGCTGACGCATGCGGGCGGTGCCACTGGGACCTTCGGTGGAGCTCGGTGTGGGGCCACGAAGCGTTGTACTGGGTGGGTGAAACGCAGGGGAGAGGGAAGAGGGGGTGGAGGGGGGGGGGGACGGAGGAGGAGAGGAGGAGGGACGCCGGGACGGTCTCTTCAAAACGAGGACCCAACACCACAATATGGTTGGGAAAAACGTCGAACCACCCGCGAAACAGGCCAGCAGAACAAGCGCATCGGGCAAACGACGCCCCTTATCGTGTAAATACACGTCACCTCGGCACCGCGGGCCAGGCTCTGGTAACACCCGGGCAAACATTCCATTCATACACACAACCACCTCCTCCTCCTCCTCCTCCTCCGCCTCCTCCACATCCTCCTCCTCCTCCTCCTCCTCCTCCTCCTCCTCCTCCTCCTCCTCCTCCTCCTCCTCTACTCCTCGTCAGGACTGAGGACACCTGGGCTCCCCGACGATACCAACTTACGGCAAAAATCCAAAGCCTTCCCACCTCGCTCGGCGGGGAGTCTGGACGTTGAGTCCAATACCTACCGCTCACCACAGTGATGGCACTGGTCTGGCGGGCACCCTTGGCACAAGGCCCGCTGAAAACGTACAAGTTATTACTTCGTCCAAAGTGGGAGGAAGGTCAGCGCGGCTCTGTCGAACAGGCCCGCAGCTCTCCCCCCTCGGGGGTGTCAGAAAAGCACAGATACCGCTGTTCCCTGGGCCTTTCGAGGGGTGCGTTCTGACCAGATTTTCGAATCGAATCTAGCCGTGGCGAGAGGGCAACTCAGGAGTCCCAGTAAAACAGAAACGAGGCCCAGGGTGCAGTATCGGTGCTTTCTTCCTCCTCCCCCTCCTCCTCCTCATGGGTTCAATGCCCATCGGCGCATGGATCAGGCCGACGCGGTGCTCGCCGCACCGAAGAGCTGCTTTGGCTACATTCGGCCCGCGCCGGTCGACACGACGCGAAGCGTCTGCATCCTCATTCAGGTGACGGAAGGATCCAGCACAGCCAGCCCTATCTCTCTCTGCGGACTCCCTGACGGTCCTTCCCTTCTGGGCCCTCTCGGCCGGCCTCTTCGCGAACAGCTGAAGAGGCGGTGTCCAATTACGAGATGCTGCGCGTCTGCCTCGACCCAGCCATGATGGGCAACTTTTCCACCACCACGACCATATGCAGGACGGGGGAGAAGAGAGGATGAGGAGGTCCTCCTCCTTTTCTTCCTCTTCCTCCTCCTCCTCCTCTCCCCCCCCGCCTGTTATAGTAGTGGTGGTGTAACATGGGCCCATCAAGCCACGCGTGCGCGCGTCGCTCGCCGACGCCGCGCGGCAACCACTGGACGCCGTGCAGCGACCCCGCCCAGGAGCGCGCAGCACGGTCCCCTGGAGGGCGCCCTGAGCTGTGGGCGGCAGGACGGCTCCCGCCGCCAGGCTCATGCCTCAAGGAAGGGGGGGAGGAGGATCGAGAGAAGAGTTCGATATTATAGTCGGTTCAATCGCACACTACGTTGTCTCTTCCCTGACCGCCGCGGAAGAACCGCGAGCCCGACCGCGACGAAGATGCCACCCTGTCCCTCAGGAAACGCGGGGCGAAATCCACCAGCAGCACCACACCCGCGACGACTGTGGAAACAACATGCCAGCCAGTACCTGAGACTGCGACTCCGCTCGCCGCGCCCCAGCAGCCGAGAAACAACGTGACATGACAAAACCTGAGGCCACTGAGGCTCTGTTCGGCGCCACCTTTGCGCGGCGCCAGCACTAACGAAAAAACCTTCCTCCTCCTCCTCCTCCACCTCCTCCTCCACCTCCTGCTCCCCTCTCCCCCCCACTCCTCCTCCTCCTCCTCCGCCTTCTCCTCCTCCTCCGCCTCCTCCTCCTCCTCCTTACGCCGGTTCCAGCGTTCACCGGACAGTTTTTGCGGCGGCGACCGTGTTGCCAGGGCGTCCCGCTGCAGGGGTCATTCGGCCGTCCGCGCCAGGGCGCCCAGCTCCGCAAAAGAACATGCCCTGGCGCGCAGACGCCGATACTCCAGATTTCGTAATAAAAGGGAGGGGGTCTGGACCCTCAAAGACAAGCCATTTCAGACCTCCCCCGTGGGAGAACCCTCCAAAACATCGTCCCCAGACCCCCCAGGCCCTCCAAGATAGCCTGGAAGAGACCCCCCCTGAAATGAGACCCCCCTCCCTTTATTACGAAATCTGGAGTATGTTTGTCGCGCTCTGCGCCGCCCCGGGGGCCCCGCGACTGCGGGCTGTGCTCACCTTGATGCCCGCGGGAACGGCGGGGAACCTCCGGACGAGCGCCGCCGCCTGCACGGAGGCCGCGGGTGCCCGGCCCAGCTCGCGGACCGCCTGGGCTCGCCGGCCGTCGCCAGGCTGTGCCGCAGGAAGGACCGATCGCGGTGCTAGCACCCGGAGCAAAAGCCCGAGAATACAGTCAACCCGCAGAGTAAGGATGCGCGACAAGGAGGCAAGGCCCTTGGACGCCCATCTCGAAGCGCTTCGAGCGGGGCGCGGGGGCGTGGCCAACGAAACTGGCCAAGGATGGACCCAGGAGGCAAGGATGCCCGGGCACCCTTGGGAGGGATGCCTATCCTTGCTCTGCGGGTACACGCCCGACAAAGGACGTACGCGCCCGACCGTGTACATGAGCACAGCCCCCCAATCCGCGACACCGGCCGCCTGATACGAGCATTCGCGCAACGCGTGCGCTCGAAACCAACGTGGATTCATGTGCGTGCACGTCCTTCTTTCGCCCCTGGACTGAATCATGTCCCTCTGCAACGAACCCCGAGAACCCGCCAACCGGACACATTGAGGTTCGCTGGGGGGAGGGATCGGTACTCGGTCCGTGCCAGGGCATTGCCCTTGTGGCTGCTCCCCTCCCCCCATGGGACGGACGTCGAGCAGGCTGCGGAGGCAAGCACCGATCACCAGTCCGACAAAACAGAACTGATGCAACAGCGAATGCACTTATCTCCAGCAGCAGAGGAAACAAGAAACTGTAACAAGCGCCCTTTGCAAACACCCAACACGGCTATGTGAGGTAACCCACCAGAATTGATGAAGCAGCGAATGCACTTATCTTTAGGTCGGGCATGTCCCCTTACAGGCGAATTTTGGACGGAAAATAAACACATAGCCAACACATACTCAACAATTGTCAACCAGGTGCTCGAAAAATCGCCCCCCAGACTAATTTGTTTTGACTTGTTTTTGAATATTTCTCCTGTAGAGGGGCATGCCCGACTTACACTTATCTCCAGCAACAGTGAGAATACGAAACTGTAACTAAAAACGCACTTTGCAAACACCACACGGCTATGTGAGGTAACCACATCAAAACTCAAGCCAAAGTAGCTTGTGCGCTCCTTGCTCCAGCTGCGCAGCACTGTGCCATCCTTCGCCACCAGGGAACGAGGCCCGAACAGTGCGCAACCGCCGAACTCCAGTTCTGGGCCCCCCGAGAGCCACCAGAAGGCGGAGGGCTCGATTCAGAGCACCAACAGCTTACCACGGAGACATCGTGAGCCGATGCCCGAGGAAGGAGGAGGACGGATACTGACGGAGGAGGAAGAGGAGGAGCAGCACCAGCAGCAGGCGGAGGGAGGGCGGAGGATGAGGAGGACCGGGAGGAGGGAGGAGGAAGGAGGACGAGGAGGGAGGAGCAGGAAGAGGAGGAGGAGCAGCAGCAGCAGCGGCAGGAGGAGGGAGAGCCCCGCGAGCTGCCTCGCGAGGCGCCGCTCCTGCATCGCCAGCCGCCGCGGGTGCGAGGCGGACCGCCGCCCGATGCGCATGGCCTGCGGGGCGCCCGCGGCGCCCACCCGAGGGACTCGGCCTCCGAAGGGAGGCGGCCTGGGCGCCGCTTCGCGCGGGGGCGATCGATGGCGGGGGGGGGACGGCGGGGAAACGTGCACCTGTGCTGCCCCTCTTGGGGCCCCAGGGGGCCCCTTCAGAGCACGAGAGGTGCACCCTCCTTCCCCCCCCCCCACTGGAGCAGGGACCGACCGTCCCGGCATTCCTGCAGGCCTGCCACGGAGTGTTCTCAGAACCCAGAAGCGTTCTGAAGAGCAAAAGCAGTTTTCTTGTAACATAACCTTAGGTCGGGCCTGTCCCCCAACAGGGGGACTTTGGACGAAACGTAAAAAATACGCAAAAGATGCTCAAACGATGCCCAAACAATACTCAAACAATAGTCCCCATACTATTTTCGACTATTTTTGAATATCCCCCCTGTAGTAGAGGCACATGCCCGACTTAAGCATAACGCTTCGCCACTGCTTGACCCACAATGTATCGCCCTCCTCCTTGCGCAGCGCCCGAGCAGCAGGCGGACCCCGAGCTCGGGGGTCGCTGCGATGTTGCACAGCAAGAGGGCGACCTTTTGCCTCGCGCCGAGCCCCAGTGAGCCACCAGAGATCGGTCCAGCCCACAGGGCTGAACCTAAACGGTGTTTTTCGTCTTCGTTTTGTTTTCGTTTTCCATCGCTTTTCTCGAATCCAGCTTTACCGCAAAACGAAGTCGAAACGAAAACGGCCCACGACATCACCAAACACACCGTTTAGGTCCAGCCCTGCCGGCTCAATAATGAAGGGAAATTAGGACACACAAATAAATACACACAAATAAAAATAGTCCCCATATTTTCCCATATTTTCTGGGTTTTTGTCTTCCCCACCACTTCCCATATTTTTGCATATTTTCCTGGGGGTCGACGATTAATTGTGTCTGTGTGTTTTTTCCCCTCCTGATCAATAAAGACGCCGCGCAAAGCGAGGGGCAACGACAGGGGGATGCATCGGCCTAACTATCGAGTCTGCGAATACCTCGACCCGGCAGACCGGCGACAGGCCCCCGACAGCGACTCCGCACCCTTCCTGGGCAGGGTGGGGCCATCGGGCCCCAGTCTATCGGCGATCCATAGGCGATGTGGGGTCGAGTCGGGTCGGGCGAAAGGGGGGGGTAGCAAAGGGGGGGTTTGAGAATCAGCTCCCGTAGCTGATTTTCCAGGCGCCTCCCGGCGCCGGAGGCGGCCATGTATCGAGGAATGGGCCCCTCGGTGGGGCCGAAACCAGCTGCATGCAGCAGATTTCGTAACCCCCCCTTTCCCAAACCCCCCCTTTCGCCAGACCCGATCGATGCACCCCCCCCCTGTGCTGTGCTTGGGCATGTCCCTCCACGGGAGAAAAATTCAATACCAGTGAGAAACTAGTCTTGGGGACGATTGTGAGAGCATGCTTTTTTAAGCACGCTGGAGTATTTGTTGGTACCTTTTTTATTTCTCGTCCAAGGTCCGCCTGCAGGGGGGCACGCCCGACCTAACCCTACGCCCTGCGAAATGCTGAAGAAATCATGGGTTCAGAAATTCATAGTCTCAGAACTTGAATAAAAACCCAACGTTTCTATTACAATCTGAAGATTTACATGGAAACATTAAGAATAATCGAGACTCTGGCCGAAAACTGGGATTTTCTTAAGCATCGCCTAGAGTGCACGCCCATCCCCCCCGCTCGTTGCCCCCGACAGAAACGAGTGGGTTTTTGGGGCACCTTGGTCGTGCCCTGTGGCAGCGTCGGGCCTCCGCGGCGGAGGGGGGGGGGGGAGGGCGGGGAGAGCACGCGGGGGGGGCGGCAGGGACGAGGTGAGCGCGGCGAGGGCGGGGAGTGCAGGGAGGAGGGCGGCGAGGACGAGCAGAAGGCAGGTCAGGGAGGGGGGAGAAGCGCGGAGGGTCGTGCTCCGACAGTTCTCCCGCACCCAGGAGGAATATCGGAGCAATCCGAACGAGTGCCGCCTCCCAGGACCGGTTGCGTGAAAACCCTCCAGTTTCGGTACTTTCTCGGTGCTCGAGATTCTGTCTGGCGATCAAGGCCAAAGTAGGCTGGAGCATCATCATAAGTGGAGGGGGTCGCAGGAGCGGCAGCGCGCAGCGAATGCATGCACACCAATGCGAGGCATGTCTAAAGGACCACCTCGAGGCCGCAGCGGTGGCAGGCGGCGGCGGGGCGAGGAGCGAGGAGGGGGGGAGGAGAAGGAACACGAGGAGGAGCAAGGAGCACGGAAGAGATGGGAGAGAGGAGGGAGAGAGGAGAGAGGGACGGGGCGCTGGGGGTAAGAGGCGAGGAGTGAGCAAACATAAGAGTGAGGGAGGAGGAGGAGGAGGAGGAGGAGGAGGAGGAGGAGGAGATTCGTAGCCATTTTGGCAAACAATTTCTGCTCAAGTGCGAAACCGTCGCCCTGCGGCTTCGTGCTGGCCCGCAGCCGAGGGGCTGGCCAAAGGCGGGCCCGCCTTAAGGATCCTTTACCACCACGCAGCAAGCCCTCGCGCGGCTGCAGGATACTTTCCGGCTCGCACCTGAGCTGCACGTGCTCTGACATGGCGGTTGTCTGCCCAAGCGGCAGGCGCTCCGAGAACCCCGATCACAACAAATGGTGCAATGACTGCTGGAACCTCCTCCCGCGCCTCGCCATCACTCGGACGTTCATTCCTCGTGCATTTTCTGGCTTCGTGCGCTTACTTTACGCACGATGATCCTAGATGCCCCTCGATGGTCCTCGCCGATGTCCGATAGCCACTACAGTTAGTTCTGGCGTGTCCCCCTACAGACGCTTTTTAAGGCAAACTTGCAAATAGTAAAAGATACTCCCAAATAGTCAACATAATACTCAAAGCGATTAAGTAAAGAATATTCCTCCCGTAGAGGGACCCGCCCGACTTAACACTACAGTCGGACCTGGGACAGAAGAACACCCTCCAAGAACATGAGACCCTGACAAAGCCAAGGCGAGGAGAACATGGGGTGAGGATGGATCGAGAATCTCTGAGACCCGGCGGCTCTTGAGGGTCTCGGGCGCCGCGGCCTCCTCAGAGCGTTCTGGAACGCTTTAGGAGCGTTCCGGGAACGCTCTGGAACGGTGTTGTCTTTGTACTAACCTTAGGTCGGGCATGTCCCCCTACAGTCGGATTTTGGACGAGAAACAAACATAGTCAGAACATATGTTTAAAGATGCACATAAAATAATCGAACAATCGTCCCCAGACTATTTTTTACTACTCTTGAGCATTCCTCCTGTAAAGGGACGTGCCCGACTTAATCCTCGCCCCGTCCGAGATCCTTCGCCTCGGGTGGCGGGCCTGCTCCCAGAAGAGGCCGCGCCGAGACAGCATCAACCGGCACCAAGCGGGAGCTCGGACCGAGTCGAAGCGGGCCTCGGATCGGGCTGCATCGGCACGGGATGCAAAAACAGCGCCACGCAAGCATCAAGTCGGGCGTGTCCCCCTACAGCGAGATCCTCGACGAGAAATCAAACATACGAAACAATTCCCCAAAGTTGCAAAAACAAACCAAAAAACTAGTCCCCAGACTAATGTGTGACTATTTTTGCATACTCCCCCTGTCGCGGGACAGGCCCGACTTAGGGCTCGTTTCGATGCTTCCGATTCGATTCGATTCGATTTCGATGGCTTCCGATTCCGATTCGATTCGGCTTCGGATTTCGATTCGGAATCCGATTCCTTTTTGGAGGCATAAAAGCCTGCCGACTTCCGCCGATTCGACTTTTCCCGACTCGGCTGCCGATTTCCGCCGATTCGATCCATTTCGATCGCCGATCCGATTTGTCGATTCGATACTGGGCTCTCCTGCTTAGCGCAAGCATCGGGCCGCATCGGACCGTCGAGACTTCCGCATCGGATCGAGCCGGCCGGAGCCGACGGCGAACCGAGTCGATCGGATCGAAACGGACCCTGCGCCGACCCCTCCGCCCCGCGCCGACCCTCCGATCGTTGGTCTCGTTGTGGTCGTTGTTGCCATCGGCACCGTTGTTGTCGTTACTGAAGGCGCCCCAGGGACACACAAATAAATACACACAAATAAAATGATTCCCCATATTTTCTCATATTTTCTGGATTTTTGTCTTCCCCCCCACTTCCCATATTTTCCCATATTTTCCTGGGACTCGACGATTAATTGTGTCTGTGTGTTTCTTTTCCTCCTGAATGAACCAGGGTTGCCGCATCGGTCCTGATGGGGCCTGATGGGGCCGGAATGTGTTTCATGAATTGCCCATGATCTGCGCCGTACTCCGGAACCACACATCGGGAAATGAACGACGGCATCCATCACTGAAGCAAGCGCCGCAGGCACAAGCGCTACGACCAAGATCAAATCAATTCCCCTCTTCCCCTTCACGGCCTCTGTCATCCCTCCCTCTCTCGGTCCCCCCCCCGCGAGAAAAAGGGGCCTTCAACTCGTCTTCCAAGCGCTCGGCTCTGTCCGCGGCACTGGGCCGATCCACCTGACATTCGTGATCCCTGTCCCCTCTTTCGATGCCCTTTCCAGCCCTCTCTCTCATGTTGCATACGTCGCTCTTTCTCTCTCTCTCTCTCTCTCTCTCTCTCTCTCTTTTCTGCCTCCATCCCTCCATGCTCCATTCTCTCGCCCACGTTCTCACTCTACCTATATTTATATCTCCTTGTTTTGTGGATATTTACACATCTATATATATATATACACATGTATAGATCGCTCGCGTCGTCGTCCTGGCCATTTGTTCTTGGATAAGGAAGGGCCAGGCGGGTGAGATGCGGATGCAGGCCGCTGCGGCAGCAGGGGCGGTCCTGAGACGCCCTTTGCCTTCAAACAAAGAGTGCAAAGTAGGTTGTGGGATGACATTGGGAAAACTTTGAGCACAATAGCGTCGGATGGCAAGCGCTGTACCGAGACGGGCTGACATCCGAGCGCGCCCGTATCCCCGACTCTTCTAATCATCAAATTGTTAAAACACCCAGCTCGCGTCGTCGTCCTGGTCATGTGTTTTGGGACAGGAAAGGGCCAGGCGGGAAAGGTACGGATGCAGGGCGCTGCAGTCGCAGGGGCGGTCCTGAAACGTCCCCTGCCCGATCCCGAAGGTACATGTGGCCGAAGGCCGCATTCATAACATTCTCAGAGCGAGCGTTTGGAAAACACGAGCAGGCTGGAGGGACAGAGACTGGACAACGCAAGAGGCAGCAGCGACGGCAAGGCGAGAAGGGGTACTGAGCCGCGACGGCGATTCGTTTCTGACCTCTCTCGTCAATCCCCTCAAGGATGAAATGTTTGTTGCCAGTCTTGCTACAAAAACCACGGCGCCCCGAACAAGTCCTTTCGAGCGGCAGCGTAACGGTTGCACCCCGCGAGCAAACAGTGGTGGCCTTTCTGTAGGACGTGCCGTACTGGCACGGATACAACACAGACTTGCGACACATCGGCGACTTACAGAGACAAGCCAGCGCTGGGCCCGACCGCAATAGCGAGGTCTAAGGGTTCTTAGGAAAGACTGGGTTACGGACGGCAATGCAAGCGCGGATCAGTCTGACTGTGAACCTGTAAATAGCATTGCCAGCATCAATTCTAGTCTGCTCGCAGGGGCTCACATCTGGAAGACCCATCGGGTGGAATGAGGAGCGGAGCGGCCGCCGGAGCGCTCGCGCCCCGTTTGTGCACGGCGCGCCAAGCCAGACAGCGCCCGCTGCCCGAGAGGCCACCCAGCCGAGGACCGCGCAGTGAATGCCGATGCGGTGTGGTCCTCCAGCGGACTGCGGCCCCAGTCGAACCCGATGCCAGAGAAGCCCAGGGCAAGCATCGCCTGAGCGATCGTCGTGCCGGCGCCGCAGAACAGCTCGAGCACAGGGCGCCGGCGAAGGCGACGACCAGGAGCGGCCGCCCTGATGGGTGGCTTCTGGGCCGCCGGAGGCCGTCGCGGCGCCGCCGCGGGGCGCCTGCGCACCCTCCGGGGGGCGACAGCTGGCGCTCTGAGTAGGCGAGTAGGCCAGCGACAGCGACCAGCGCGCGGCCAGTCGTCAGCAGCGCGGGCGGGAAGCCGTCGATGGGCACGGCCATGCGGGCCTCGACAGACGCCCTGAGTACGTCCAGCAGCGCCGTCAGGTTGGTGGGGCGGTTGAGACTCTTGGCGGGCCGAAAGCGTCGGCGACGCTGACGCTCTAGGAGCGCCTTGAGCGACAGCATGTCGTCCGAGGCTCCGCTGCAGAGCGGACGGGGGCGCGCCCGGGACGGCTCGCGGCAGACCTGGAGGCCGAGCAGCGGCAGCGACGTGATTGAGCCCACCCCCGGCAGCCAGATGAAGGGCGCGGCGGTCAGGAGGGCCGCGGGCAGGGGCGCGAGCGAGCGCTTCCGATCGAGGAGGGCGCTCTCGTCGTCGACGCCCGTCCCGTTGGACTCCTGGTCGCTCGCGCGCGGGATGAGGCCGTGGCGCAGGTGGGGCCCCCCCGCGGCGGCGGCGGGTGGCACCGCGCGGCGCCCGCGCACCTCTGCCGCCCCGCTCGGCCTGGGGGCGCAGGCGAACGTGGCGAGGATTCAGGTGGCGAGCAAGCGACGCCCGCCGCGAAGCCGAATCCCTGCTATGGCGAGCGCCACTTGCCCCGGCCGCGGGGGGCGCAACGGCGCGGCGTTGCCGGGGCCTGGGCCGCAGCTGCGCGACGGGCCCGCGGCGGCGGCGTCGCGGCCCGCTTTTGGAGCGAGCCCGGGGTGCGAGCGCTCGCCGCCACTGACGCGTGCCAGAGGTCCCCGCCGTAGCCGAGGGGGGGCCCGCAGTCAACGTAGATCATGATTGTCGAGTCGAGGATGGCGTGACCCGCCCAGTCCAGGCGGGGCTGCGCGCAGAAACTCACGCAGGTCAGCCTCGCCCCGCAGCAGAGCTCCGCGGTCGAAGGCCGCGCCGCGAGCTGCTCCAGTGCCGAGGGCCCCACGGGCTGGGGGCGCCGCAGCTGCGGGCCCCTCGGCAGGGCGAACTCTCTGCAGCGCCAGCGAGATGGGCGCGGCACGCCCCCCCAAGGCCGCAGCGACCTGGAAGAGGAGCCACAGCGGCCAGAGCAGCCGCGCGGCCGCGCAACCCCTCGCCGAACGGCAGAGGCGCCAGGTGGGAACCTGAGAACCGTCCTGCGCGCCCGCGGCTGTGGCCGTCGGCTGGGCTGGCCTCCGACGGGATCCACCTGGCGGACAGGGTCGAACCGGCGGCGGCGGAGGGCGCGTAGATCCTGCGGAGGGAACTCTGGGGGCACCTGCTGCGAAACTGGCCTTTTCCGACTGCTAACACCGAAGGCGTGTTGTCCGTGAAAAGGAGGAATCGGAAACCAAATGCCGAAGTAGACCTCGACAGACGACGGTGCCCAAGAACGAGCGCCCCCCCTTCCAGGGCCAGGATGTTGGCCTGATCGTCGGTGCGCGCGGCGGCGATCGAGCACCGGGCCGCCGCCCGATTGAAATGCGCTGGGGCCTCCTCGAAGTCGACAGGCGGCCGAAGGTCGAGCGGTGAGGGGCCCCTCGCGTCGAGCCCCTCACCGCCCTCGATATCGACATCCCCGAATATCGAGTGGTCCAAGCCCAGGGGGTCGTTCAGGCCGGTGGCGTTGCAAGTCAATCTGTCCGATCCCACCGGCAGTGCGAGATCTGGCTTGGGGGCGCCCCTCGACTTTATATCTCCATTTCTCGGCAACGCGGCCAGCGGTGCCCACGAGGTCCTTTGGGGCGCAGCGAGCAACCGCGCCCGATACAAGCACGCGGCGCTCGACCGCGGCGCCCAGGGGCTTAGAATACTCAGCAGGTGATCGAACGAGAACAGGATCGGTGCAGGGTCCACGCGGGCTGGCCTCAGCCTGCAGTTGGCGAGCCTACTCCACATCTAGGAGCACGCGGCGCCTCCGCCCACGTAGCGCGGCGGCGCCCTGCCCCCCCGGCAACCCAAGGGCTGGCGCAGGATGCTTGGGCGCATCGGGCCGAGGGGCGAGATCTGGCACGTAAGGGCGCCGTGGGCCCGCTGCCGTCAGGGCGCTGCGCGGGCCCGGCAAGGGGCTCCCGGAGGGCGCCGCTGGGGTCGGACACGTCGTCGCGGCGCTCGTCCGGCTCGTGGCCGAGGGCGGCGATCGCGCCCCAAATCTAGCTGACGGCCCCTCGCTGTCCTGGCGTCGGGCCGCCCGACCCGGGCGAAGGCGAATCGCCGCGAAGAGAATTCTACGCGCGCGCGGCAGCGTTAGCGCGGCCGCGCGCGCGCCCAAGAGCTTGGCCCGCCCGTCTGCGCCGCCCGGCGCCGGAGCAACCGGCCGTCGCGTCGGCGGCGGTCAGCAGCGGCAAGGGGAAGAGGTTGTTGCGGCGGCGCCTCTCCCTGTCCGCCAAGTGGCCGGTCTGGCTCACGGCAAGGGCAGCGCCGTTGGCGCTCGCGGTGGCCTGGGAGGGCGAGGGCCCTCCCAGACCGACCGCCCGCGGGCGTGCTAGCCAATCGCCGCCTGCGGCGCCAGGGCCCGGCCCCGCCAGCCGCCGCGGCCTCTGCGCGCGCCCCCGCGTCCAGTCTGGCAGTCCGCCGGCGAGGGCGCGCCCCTCTCGCGCCTTCCCCCGCTCCTTCGCGACCGCCATCTCCTCCTGCGGCTCCGCAGCAAGGTGGTCGCGGAGCGCGGGGCAGACGCAGGCCGAACCAGCGAGCAAAGCCGTGCCCATCATGGTGGCCCTGTCAGCGACGACGGAGTCGTCGGGCTCGAGAAGGAAGCGGCGCCTCTCCTCCTTCGCCTGGAACGAACGCGCCACGAGCTCCAGGTGCCCGAGGTTCGCGGCGTGCACCTGGTCGAAGGCGAGAGCCGTCTCGAGGGTGAGGCAGGGGGTCTGGCGAATCTCAACGCATGGTTCGCCGGGGTCGAGGCGTGTCTCTGCTGGCCGCCTCTGGTGATGCGCCGTCGGCGTGCGACTCCGTAGGGCCATGAACTCCGCGACCTACTGCAAGGTGCGCGGCCCCCGCGCAGGCCAGTCTGGCCAGGGCAGCACCTCCAACGGAGTGACTGCCGCGCGGAACCTAAGGTGGCGGGTCCCGCGCGCGTCAAAGACCACGCCGAGGGCCCTAGACTCCCCGCCAGGCCCGACCGCCGGAGACGCGGCGGGGGCGACGGCCGCGGGCGCCGCGCGCGGCCGCAGGCGCTAGGGCCGCGGGCTGAGGGGCTGCCGCGGCAGGGCCGCCAGGAGCACCTCCGAGAGCGGCCGCCAGTCCTGCGAGGCCGCCGCCAAGGCCGCCGGCAGCAGGGGCGGGGGCGACGGCGGCTGCCGCAAGCGCCGTGACCATCGGGACGCCTGCCCCGGCCCGGCCCGCGAGGTTGACCGCGATGGGCCCGGCGGGCACCGCGCCCGCCCTCGCGTAGGCGGCCGCGCGGGCTGCGTCCACCGCGGCCTGCAGGGGAAGCTGCTGGAAGTCGTAGACGTCGTCGCGCGGCTGCGGGGGCCCCGAAAGTGCCGAGCGGCATCATCGTCCACTCTGCGATGTTCGCGGCGTCGGCGATACTCGTCGCGGTCAGGAGTGAAGACACCGACGGCGGACACGCCCCCCGGCGCGAGAGCGGCGGCCAGCCGCACGCCATAGCTGACAGCAATGATGTCGCCCTCGGCGAGGCCCGCCGTCTCGAGCTGGCGCAGCGCCATGGCCTCAGCCACGGAGGGATGCGGACCGACGAGCTGTGACCTCCGCCAGCTGGGCACGCACCTCCAGCCACAGGTCCTTCAGTAGCGGATCGAAGCGCGGCGGCAGTACGGGCGGGCTTGAGGGGGCGGGCGCCAGCCACCACTGCACGCCCAGCACCACAACGGCGACCACAACGGCGCCCAGGGCAGCGCCGAGCCCGAGCAGGATCAGGCAGGCCCCAAGCGCTGACCACGGCCCGCTCGCCTCCACCTCCTGCGGCACGGTGCCCTCCGCGCAGGACAACACAGGCGCGCAATGGCAGGCACAGTCTGGACAGGAAACGGCCGCGAAACAAACGGCGAGAGCGGTGGAGGCTAAGCGCAGTGAGCAAAGGGTCCATGGGAGCTTGGGCTCCCGAAGAAACTTTGAGCACAATAGCGTCGGATGGCAAGCGCTCTACCGAGACGGGCTGACATCCGAGTGCGTCCGTATCCCCGACTCTGCTAAGCATCAAATTCTTAAACACCCATACGCGGAACGTTTTTTTTTCCTCTGAAGGGGGGCGAGCGGCCTTTCAAAGCACATACTCACTGAGATCACCAGAGAAATCCTCGGAGAGACCCTCAAGGCCGTTGCTTGATTGTCCTTGGGTTGGTGGTTCCAAACTGAAGAACCAAAAACACCTAAGGAACACCAGACAACACACAAACCAATCCCTGGGGAGGTTTTTTGGGAGACTGCTTCAAGTGTGTGTTGTTCCTTGTTTTTTTTTTGTTCGGGGCTGAACAACGAAACAAACTCAATGTTTCTTTGGATTTTAACTGGGGAACCAAAACACAACAATCCAATACATTCCAACCTCCACTCCATTCTTTCCGCCCCCTTACGGAAAGGGCACTCGATGTGGCGACGGGCAGTTGGGGCACGTCCCAACTCCATGACAGGAACGTCTGCATTTCCAGTCATCAGAAAGTGACATGCTTAGTAAGAAGACCAATTCTGTCCTCTCCCTCCCCTCTGCTCCCTCCTGCTGCATCATGCTCCCACTCGATCCTGAATCCCCCCTCCTTCTCCATAGTCTGTAATCGCACCGTCTCATTCTCCAATTCTCGGGTACCTGGCCTGGACGGATGAAGGAGAAGCGAGGAGGGGGGGCCGAGGAAGGGGGAGGGGAGAGGAGGCAGGATGGTGCCCAGGCTGCTTGGGGGAGGGAGGGGGTGAGACGAGGAAACGCCAGGTAAGACAAGTGGAGAGGTGGCACGGTGAGGGGGATGGGAAAGAGGACAGGGGGAGGAGGGGGGAGGGAGGGAGCCTCTTCCTCCTTCTCCTCCTCCTCCTCCTCCTGCTACTCTTCCCCACTCCCACCTCCCTCCGGAGGGAAGATGAAATGGAAGAGGGAGGAAATAGAGAGAGAGAGAGAGAAGGGGAGAGGGATAAGAGTGAGGGATGATCTGTTTTGCGGGAGCGGCCCCTTAGGAAGGCGTAGGAAGGCTGGCGCGAAAGCGGGAGGAGTGAAGCTGCCCAGTCCACCAAGACCAAAACCATTACAATAAGCGTCGTCGCCGTCGCCGTCGTCGCACGCTGTCGCCATCGCCGCTGTCGCCATCGTCGTCGTCGTCGTCGTCGTCGTCGTCGTCGTCGTCGTCGTCCTCGACGCCGTCGTTGCCGCCGCTGCTGTCGCCGCCACAACCGCCGCTGCTCTCGTCGACGTCGCCGTCATCGCCGCCCTCCTCTCCTTCAAGGGGAGGGCGGAGCGAGAGTGGGTACGTTGAGGCTTCTTGGGGGCAGTTTGGGCGCCGCGTGGGGGCGGCTAAAGGACCTGACGCATCTCGAGCATGCCCGAAACCTCCAAGCAGTCTGGGGCAGGGGATCCTGCGAGGACATCCCACGCGAAAGCGCCAAGTCTGGAGCTCGTCGCCAGGTGCAGCGTCATCGCCTGATGGTGTGGACGAGGTGGAAGCGGCGGCAGGATTGAGCAGGGACTGGCCGTCCCCGCAGTCCTGGAGTCCTACCACCAGATGCTCGAAGAACCAACATATGTTCCAAGAGAAATCACTATTCGCAGAACATGAGTCCAACGGGCTAAGGCAAGACGGTCTCAACCAGAAATATGCTAGAAACACGTCGTGCAGACCACAAAAGGCTCGTAGAAAATGAATTGGTGGGCCTATGGGCAAGCCTGAACGCTTCGCCAGTACTTGATCACCCGCGGTGTGGGCTCGCGGCGCGCGCAAGGGGGTGGAGGGAGGGGGGAGGTCTTCTTAGAAGGAGGCTGCTTTTCAGAAGGCGCCGGCTTTACTTCTATAGATAAGGCCCCCGCCTTCTAAGAAGCAGGGGTGCTTCTAAGAAGCCCTCCCCCTGTCCCCACCCCCCCCCTCTGCGCGTGGCTGAGTTGGGGAGGAGCCTCCTTGGGCCTCTGGGGGGCATCGGGCCCACTGGAGGCGTCTTGGGGCTTTCGGGGGAAGGGCACTGGCCACGACGCCGAGCCGAACGGAACGGGACGGTGCAAGGCACGACGCCGAGCCAAACCGGTCCGAACCATAACATGTCCGACAGCGAGCCGGCCCGGAGGCGCCTTGGAGCCTTACCACACCGAGCCGAACCGGCGCTTTTCTGTAACATACCTCCTCCTCCTCATCCTCCTCCGCGTCAAAATTACAACAATATACATCACACTCGCACATGAATAACGGGCATCATCGGCATTCCAAGAGTACATACATGACGTACACACATCATAACACGAGGCGCGAATACTTCCTACGAGTCTAACCACATGCGGACATTCCAAGCGTACAGCACATGCGCAACAACCATACACAAAGAGTGATTCCTCTCGCATATCACTCAATAGAGTCACACTTGACATACTTCGAACACATTCGCAGCAACTCATTGGAGAGGATCACCGAAACAGAACAATTCTCCTTGATTAGACAGCCTGCTCCTGTGTACATGATTCCGTTTTGGATCGGATCATTGCGTCTTTCTTGTTTGGCTACGTGTGAATATAAATGTCGGACACATGTCGTCGCACGCAAGATGCATACAAAAACCGGGCAACATCTTGCCGCGTTTCGGGCATCACAGCCGGCCACCCAGTGACCCATGGCAGCACCTCCCCAAGCCTCCCCGATGGCATTCGTGTCGTACTGGCTGCCCGCCAACTGCCCGCGGGTGGTCTGGCAGACTCATGCCGAGCAGCCCCGAGGGGAAGGCAAGCAGGAAAGAGACACGATCAAGCTGGAAGCGAGCAGACGCTGCTTGGGCCCAACCGGGGAGACGTAAGACTCGGGTTTGGGGGACCCGGGTTGGCCTGACGGCGCCGTCAAGAAAATGACGGCCCATGGAGAAATTGGACGCGAACTCCTGCTGCAAACATCCCACGAAAAATGGACAGTCAAGATCCAGGACGGGCTCCTCAAAAAGCGTCGGTCAACCCGAGTTATGGCGAGCTCGAGTCTTACGTTTCCCCGACCCTCGCATCCCAGGACAGCAAAGCGACACGTGAAGCTACCAGCGTCGAAGGGTCTCATGGGCTGCCTCCTGCTCATGCCCCTCCCCCTCTTCCTATCGCCTCATCCATCCCCACCTCCCCGCCTCCCCACCTCCTCCTCCCGCCTCCTTCTACCTTCTCCTCCGACTCCTCCCTCGCCTTCTCTTCTCACCTCCCTCAACTGGCCTCCTCCTCCTCCTCCTCCACCACCACCAATTTCCTCACACCAGCCTCCTCCTCCTCCTCCTTTCGCCCCCTCCCTCCCCGCCTCACCTCCTCCTCCTCCTCCTCCTCCTCCTCCTCCTCTTCTTTCTCCTCCTCCTCCTCCTCCTCCTCCTCCTCCTCCTCCTCCTCCTCCTCCTCCTCCTCCCTCGTTCCCTCAAGCAAATTGGGATCGAGCGTCATTTTGGCATTCGAGGCCCAACCCTGCGCCTCCTCGCGGTGCTTGGGGGGCAGCGCACTTCCGTACATCCTTTCGTGTCAGTTGCGCTGGCAAAAGCGGTGCCCCGCCCGTGTTCCACCATGTGCACGCCTTGGAGCACATGTGCGGGATGCGGCACTCACGAGTACAATCATAAGATCGTGGCCAACTCGGGGAAGTGCGGCAAGTGTCATAGACGAATCAAAGTGCACAAGTTCGAGAAGAAGGGCAGCAAGGACGGCGTGAAGAGCGGCCAGAACAGCTTGCAGAACGTGGCAGGTCCTGAGGTCTTGTTGACTACGGAGTCCACCTTTCAGGCTCTCACGTCGGCCATGGCGATGATGAAGGATCAGGCCAGCAAAGCGGTATTGGCCGAGCAGATCGCCACCACTCAGAGAGAGGCAGCGGAGGCTTCTGAGGCCACCGTGCCAGCAGCCGAGGCCTCACGGTTGGCTGAGGCGGCCTGGAGGCACGCCGGGGTCAAGCACTCGCAGGCTGCAGCGGCGGTCGCCAAGCTGACCGAGAGCTCGAAGAAGGCCCAGGCCCAGGAGGAGGAGGAGGAGGAGGAGGAGGAGGAGGAGGAGGAGGAGGAGGAGGAGAGGAGGAGGAGGAGGAGGAGGAGGAGGAGGAGGAGGAGGAGGAGCGTGCGCGGACGCTGGCCTTGGCGGAGACCAGCAAGCGCACGGCCGCCGCGGCACTCGCCCGCGAGGCCGGAGTGCCCACGGGCGGTGGAGCCCCTCCTGTGAGCACGGAGGGTGCAGGCGGCTCCGCGGGAGCGCCCACCAACGAGCCCACGACGAACGTCACATGTAGAGGAAAAAGAACTATGCACATACACCGATTCTGGCCAGGCCCATCCTGAGCCCAGGATCGGTGCATACGCCCTCCTACCCTGGCCAGGAAGGCACATGCACCGATCCTGGGTCAAGGACGGGCCTTGCCAGGATCGGTGCATGTGCATAGTTCTCTTCGCCCGAACATGGGTCGACGAGTCCTTCAAGCAGCTGGGCACCATGGAGTGTTCCTCCGAGGAGCGCGGCGCGCTCAAGGCTGTGGAGCAGGAGCTCTTGAGGGTCAAGGAGAGCGTCACCGCCGAGGCTGAGGAGGAGATGCCCGAGCTGAAGCAGAAGATCGAGGAGAGGCTTGCCAAGAAGCGCAAGACGGGCGGCGAGCAGCCGCCGCCCGACGCGGCTGGTGCTGGGGGCGGCGCAGGGCAGGTCAGTGCAGCTCCTCCCGAGGCGCCTGCGGCGGCGGCCCCGCCCGCGGCCCCCCCGGTGGCAGCAGCTGCGCCCGCGACGCCGTCGGAGGCTGAGATCGAGGCCGAGATGGACCGCATCCGCCAGGCTTCCGCCATCGGGAAGCGGGCGGGCGAGAACGCCAGCGCCCAGAAGTGAGGCAGGGCGCCTGCGACGGGATCATCGGCCACCGTCGTCGCCGAGTCGCAGCGGCCGACGCGTGACGAAGCTTCTCGGGATGAGGCCACGAGCGCGCTCTTCTTCAGCAGCAGCACCACCCTCGGTCCGGAGTCCTGGGCACACCTCAGCTCCGAGGCCGTGCTCGCCAAGCACCAGTGCATCGGCGTGGTGGAGTCGCACGTGGGGGCCCACGCCGGGGCCGAGTGGGCCCGACGAGCCAGGGGACTCGAGCTCGAGTACTTCGACAATCCAGCTCGAGCCACAGGACGATCGACCTCGGAGGCTACTGCGGGGCGGGCCTGCGAGGGCGGGGAGATCCTCCTGACGCAGGGGCATGGGAACGTGCATCGTGTTTTTGACAAGCCGCGTGAAGGCGCCAGTTCGTTTTGTGCTGAGGGCTCAGATTCTCTCGACGGCTTCCTGCCGTTACTAGTGCATCTGACAGGCTTCTCGCTGCTTCTGGTACTGTTTTACGCTCACCGACGGTAGGATTCGGAGGAGCGAACGCACAACGTTTTGCCAAATTAGGCGTGAATCTGCCCTGGTTAGTGATCTGCGAATCTAACATAGATGTTGGAGTGTTCCAGAAGTCAACTTTCTGCCGTCGTGTGGGAGGCGTCATCAGACGCGCAGATGTAGAGCACGCATGTCTCGGGAGTGCAGGTAGCTCGCACATCGATTTTGTCATGGCATGAGAGAGTTGTATTCCGTACGTTCGCAGCGTCTGTACAGTGGCCGACACACCTTGGGCCCCTCACACCGGACCTGAATTGAAGTTGAGAGGCTCAAGCGAACAACTTCTTCATGAGATCCTTGCTAGTTGCTTCCCGCTTACCTCAAGTTCCACGTCCTTCAGCATGCGCGGTCGCTGGCTCCAAGTCTAAAGCCAAGCGGAATGAGCAGGCCGAGAGCGATGAGCAAAAGAAGGCTCGTCTGAATGATGAGTGTGAGCAGCTGTTTGGCGATATTTTCCCTCGAACGTCCCGCCAAGCCAATCTAGATGCAGCCGACGCCGCCGTCCCCGACGACTCTGGAGATCTCGATCCCACTCCTGTGGTCTCGCCTGGGCTCGTTGAGGCTGGCGATGAGGTCGATTTTTGGGCTTTCGATTTCGGGCCGTACGAAGAGGACCCGTGGACCGACGAATCTTGTTTTCACCCAGTTAGTCGTGTGGAGGCCCCTGGAGGGAGCCAACAAGACAGCTCTGAGGGTATAGAGGCGTCCTCACCAGCCCTGCGTCCTGGGGACTCGGGACCCCTGGATGGGGGCGCCAGCAGTCTTTCCCCTGCTGCTGCTCCTGCTGCTCCTGCTCCTCTCCCCGACTTCGCCATCCCCTCGTTTGTCTGGGAAGCCGCCTCGGCTCAAGTTCCTTGGCACTCACATTCCCTTCACGGCGCCTGGCAATGTATCAGTCAGTCGCTCGCCTTCCACGCGGGAGGTCCACACGCTCTGCACATAAGCAATGCATTTGCGCGGTGGGTATCTACTGCCGAGCTCGCGAGTCCTGCAACAGCACAGCTCGGAGGTGGCGGAGAGATCGAGCTCAGGGTGTGATCTCAGAGTGGTCTCGGTATCGACAGAACGGAGCAGCGCAGTTGGTGCAGATGTCTGGAGCGGCCACACGGCTGGCAGATCAGCCTGTGGACGGTGTGGGGTCAGCCTTCCCATCCAGCGTGGGATCGTGGCAGACCTTGCTTCAGGACTTGAGGCGCATCGTATATCTCTCGACCGACGACCTGAGTGCGCTGGAGGAGAAAGCTTTTCGAGCGTCTCGACGGGCCCACAACAAAGCAGCTGCAGCGTCACTTCGGGATTTTCAGCAGTGTTTCAGTTCAATTGAGACACAAGGAGTTGTGCACAAGACGTTGAAGGATCCAGATCCTGAGCGGGACGAGCTTCACGGCGCAGATGGGGCGGTCCTTGTACATCCCAACGATGTCGTTGAGACGAAAGTGCAGGTTCATCACAAGTTATGGAGCTCAGACGTGGCTTCGCGGAGTACGGTGATGACGACCATGGACTTCATCAGGAGTCACGCGGAGCTGGAGCAGCTGGTGCCGCTCACTGTAGCGGACGTCCGAGCCGCGTTGGCTCGCACGAAAGCTCGTGCAGGCCTAGGCATCGACAAGATGTCCCCATACGGACTTCGAGCGCCTTCCCGACGAGTGTATCCAGGAGCTCTGCGATCGTTTTCTCATGATCGAGTTGGCCGTGGCAGGTCATGTGTGTGGTGGGGAAGTTGCTCGGCAAAAAGTCGGGCGGAGACCGAGTCATCGGTTCAATGGCTGTGCTGAGCCGAGTCTGGTCGATGGCCAGAGATGTGCAGATGAAGGAGTGGGCTTTCCCTCAGGAGGGGACGGATCACTGGGACGCGGCCATTGCGATGAACAGCGCTTTGCGCGAAGCATTCGTGCGGGCGTTGCAGGAAGAAGTTCGCGCGCGTCTTCAGCTTCCGCACGGCCACGCTCTGGTCGACATTGCTTCATCTTACGAGTCTATAGAATGGGACCCCTTAGCGCGCTGCGCTCTGTGCAAGGGGTTCCCAGCGGTCGTCTTGCATTTAGAGATTCAGAAGTGTCTAGCACCTCGAATGCTGGAACAGCTCAACTCGTTCTCGGAGCCGTTCCAACTGCTGCGCTCGGTGGTGCAAGGGCTCAATAATATGGCACGCGTGTCGCCACATGCCTCGCGGCCTTCGTGTGCAAGCGGCTGCGCGAGACCCACGCGTCGCTCTCGCAGCGCATTTGGATCGACGATCTTTCCCAGAGGTTCGTGGGCTCGAGGACGCACGCGAGAACTGCGCCTATTCGGGGGGTGCTGGCGACCGTCAAGGGC